TGTGCCCGGAAAGCGTGTGGAAGTATGATGACAAGCACGACTTCTTCAAGCAGCAGCCGGACGACAAGTCGTACGAATGTGCCCAGAAGTGCAAGGTCATTGGCTATGCTCGCGTTGCCCAGGACCTGAGCCAGTTTAAGATGTGCATCAAGAGCGGCTATCCGTTTGTGTTCGGCTTTGCGGTCCTGTCGAGCTTCCAGACCATGGAGGTTGCCAGGACCGGCAAGATGGTGATGCCCCAGCCTACCGACCAGCAGCTGGGTGGGCATGCGGTTTGCGCCGTGGGCTACGACGACTTCATGCAGTGCTTCATCGTCCGCAATTCTTGGGGCGAGGGGTTCCCTGGCATAGTAATGATCATCCTCGATTTTGTGTGTGATTTCTGTTGCCTTGTAGGCCTAGATCTTGTGTGATGTTGTTTGTTGGCAAGCCAGGTGGGGCGACAAGGGTTACTTCTACATGCCCTACGAGTACATTTGCCACCCCTCCCTCGCGCACGACTTCTGGGCCATCAACTGGGTCGAGGGCTTCAAGAATGCCACAACCAAGAAGTGAGGGGTCATTGGAAGTGAGGGGTCATTGCTTTTGCGTACACGTGGACAGGAAGCCACTCTAGTTATAGCCAGGTTGAAGCCTACAGTCATTAGTCGCTGCCATAGATTGCATTAAAGTTTTCTGGAATATACCACCCAGGTGTACAACTGCCTTGTGGTTGCCGTCCTGCTATCCCCAGAGGGGTCGCAGGCCAACCGCATCCTTGTGACGTCATCGGACGCGTAACATGCATCCGAAGACATGCTTTGCCTTGCAGCAAGTCTGTTTGACCAGACTCGCCATTTGAGGAAATCATCGTGCTGCATTGGCTTATGTTGTTTCCAAAGCCCTAAACCCTAAATAGTAGTTTCCATTTTCCATTATCCCTATATACCCCCAATATTACTCCATGAGTCTACATTACCCTTATACAGTCTTGTAGGATTGCAACCATCCCTCCACACTGTGAAGAACCGTTGTTTCTTTAGAGCTGCGGCATGGGAACTAGCGACACGTGCTTTGACATGAGGGTTACCGTAAAGGGTGAAAAACCTAGCTACGATGACTCTATAGCAAGGAATACGGGTTCCTCGGACTGCGCCTTCCTTCCTCAGTACCAGATACCAGGTGGCCAGCGTATACATGAGGCCGAGAAGTGGACGTTTCATAATGCGGGGCCTATAGACCCTAAACTGAGGGAAAGCACTAAGTCACTAAACTCTATAAACCCCAAACCCAAAACTTTGGACCACATGCTGTACCCCCCTTGCGATTGGAGCTTGTTGAAACAATCCTGCTGTGCAATGGCAACGAACTTGTATACCCCAAAGGTCCTAAAACACGTACTAGTACCCTGAATTGGGCATATGGGGGTTGTCCGAAAACCCTTGTTTACGATTTATATAAACGAAAACCAAGTATAACATAATGTGTCAAAAACCCTGCGCGCGCAAGCTCCGCGCAAGCACGGCGCAAGGTTGGCGCAAGCCTTTAATTCACAAACTATGGCTGA